AACCTTTTGTCCAAAAAGCTTAAATTTATAATCATCAACGTTCTTGGAATTGGGAGAAAAAGTAAAAGAATGTGTAGATGACAAAATATGAAAAAGGAAGTAAATCAGGTGGTATAATTTCTATATGGAATTCAGAAAAGTTTTAGATGGAAAGAGCATTTGAAGGTGAAAAACTTTTGGGAGTATTTGGTTTTTGGGGACAAGACAAAATTCCATTTTATAAAGTAAATACTTATTAATTTTATGAGTTAAGGGGGAAGAGAACATTACGAGGGGAATTGAGATTATTGGTGGATGAAAGTAAAGGGAATTGGTGTTTGTTGGGTGGTTTTAATGCCATGATATCACAACAAGAGAAAGTAGGATGCAGTGGGGTTGCACGGGAGATGGAAGAATTCATAAGTTTTATTGAAGAGCCTGAGTTGGTTGATTTACCTTTGATTGGGAGGAAATACACATGGTATCATCCAAATGGTATCTCGACAAGCAAGTTGGACAAATGCTTAGTGTCAAAGGAGAGGCTATTGAACTAGGGTGACATTAAGCAATGAAGTTTAAAGTGAACAGTTTCAAATTATTGTCCTATACTCATAAAGGCCTAAAATATGGAGTAGGGTTGAAACCATTATGGTTCTTTAACACCTGGATCCAAAAAAAACTTGCCTTTAAAGGGCTAGTGATAGAAACATAGACCACAACTAAGGTGTAGAGGCAGAAATATTGTCTTAAGGAGAAATTAAAGTTAACAAAGCAAGTTTGGAAGACTTGGAGTAAGGGTTTATCAAGAGTGGAAGAACAAATATTGAACGCAAAAGAAACAATTGCCTTTCTCGATGTGAAAGAGGAAAATCAACAACTCACAGCTAAGGAAATTTGTACTAGAAGAGAAAATCTCCTATTACTTTAGAAGAATCAGAGGGTAAGAGGAAGAATGTCAGTGCAAAAATGCTAGCAAGTCATGGCTTCGAAAGGGGGATGCCAGCACAACTTTTTTCTATAGGTGTATTAAAAGCAAGTGGAGGAAAAATGAAATTAACAGCCTGTGGATAAATGGTAAACAATGCATGGAGGTAGGGGAATTAAAGGAAGGGATGACAAATTTTTATGAGAAACTATTCAGAGATGAGGTGTGGAAGAGACCAAGGATTGATTGCATCAATTTTAATAAGATTTCATCAGGACATAATATGCTGTGTGTAAACACTCAATTTAAAGGGGAAGTTGTTGCTAATATAAAGAGATCTAGTTTCAACAAGTCACCATCACAACTCATAAACTCAAGGTCTTAGCTTTCCTCTTTTTAGAGCTGGGTCTCTCTCATAGTATCTTATTTTAAATTTTCTCATAACCTACCATAAATAGATTTTGTAGGTTTGACAACAATACATTAAGGATCATGGAACAAGCGATATAGTAATCGAAGCATAAGGATAGACACTCTAGTTGAAAAAATTGACAAGCATAAGAAAATAAAATTATAATTCTGCAATGGTATCCTAGGCAAAATTTCATGATTTGCAAGTTTGAAACAAAAGTTCAAAAAGACTGGCCGATATCCATAACTTTTTAATTACCCAAGTTTTCCCACATAGACTTTTAGATGCAAATACATAGAAAGAATCATTAGTTCCTATCATGAGGCAAAGAATAGATTCTGGGAAGTATTAGAGCGTGCTTAATTTGGTGGAAGAGGTAAGAGTTTAGACAAATGGTTGAAGGTATGGGGTGCCAAATCATAAAAGAAATTGAGCAAGGTACTTGCAATTCTCCTTATAGATGCCGTTAGCAAGGAAACACGAAAGCAAAATTAGCTATATTGGTCCTGATTGGCTGGACTTATAGAAGTGAGAGATAAAGATGATGAGGAGAGATAAATTACACAAAAATTGGAAATAGGAAGGAGATGATGTTATTTTAGTAATTAAATAAAATTTAATTGATGAATTGAAAACATGTAATTTAATCTTGAAAGTAATTTTGGTATATTAATAAAAAAAAATTAAGTTAAATGCTAATTTTGGTCCCTTAACTTTAAGCTTTTGCACAATTTTCTTCTATCAACTTTTTTATGTACTTTTTTTATCGTTTAACTATGAAAAATACATTTTTTTAGTTATTCCGTCAGTTAATCTGTTAAATCTCCCTAAAGTTGAGCGACAAAAAATGTGCATATATTAAAAGTTGAGTAACTAAAAATATGCATATTTAGATAGGTTTAATGAATTAACTGACAAAAGAACAAAAAAAGTGTATTTTTCATAGTTAAAGAACAAAAAAAGTGCATAAAAAAATTTAAGGGATGAAAATTGTGTAAAATTTTAAAGTTAAAGGATAAAAATTGACATTTAATCAAAAAATTTACATGTCAACAAAGGTCTTGGTCATTTAATTAATGTCATGAAAATGGGCTCAAAATTTGCCACATCATATAGTAATTAACAGAGACAACAGAAGAAACACAGAATGCCGACGTTTGCTTGCATCGGCCATTAAATTTTGGATGATATGATTCAGTGAAATTGTACATGGGTTAATGTAATTCAACATCAAAGTATGGGGGTTGAAATTATAGGAAAAATTAGAGGGGTTCATTTCAATATTTCAAAAACTAAAAGGGTTCAAATCCCCTTCTCGCCACACTAGGACATACTTCTAGAAAAAGGTGACTACGGTCACTTATGTAATTGACAATCTTTTCTCTCTTTTTTTTTTTCAGAATAATATAATTACATTATAATGTAAGATTGTAAACTTATTGTAATGATATAATATTAAATAAATAAATACATATAATATCACATATAACTCTCAAAATAAAAATTGTCAATCACAATATCATATAATTATAAAATTATAATATCACATACCATTATAACTACATATATCATTTTTATTTATGGTTTGATCTTTCTTCATTTTTATAACTAAAAGTAAATTAGAAAAGAAAAACTTATAAATCAACCCTCTAAATTTACTGTTTTAATTTAACTAAGGCCTTCATGTTTTTAGTGTGCCACTAACTTTCTTAAAATTTGTCTACCAGCACTTCAGATGTTAGAAAATAGTATTTTTTTCCTCTAACAACTTTTTAAAATTTATTTTAAAAAATTGATTATAAACGATAATGTAATAGATTACAAGGCCTGCCGAAATCCCCCTTCATTTTTTTTTTTCCAAACACCACTTCAATTGAAAAGGTTAAAATACCAATTTAGTCCCTTAACTTTTAAATTTATATTAAATTTGTCTCTCAACTTT